GGGGAAGGAACTGAGAGAATCGGGGCAGCTTTTACCTCGTCCGAGCTCGTCTCTTCCTTACCTCTGAGCTCGGGCAGGACACGAGTGGCAGTTCGGCAACTTCGCCGGTGCCTTCGTTGTTGAGTGAGCCTGGTACTAGCGTTGCTGGCCTCTATGTTGCCGAGCTCGATTGGCCCGGAATGTTGGTAGTCTGCTGCCAGGGCGCTGAATCGGTTCTCCGTGAGCGGGAACTCGGGCCTGGAGCGCCGAGGTGCTGACCTTGCGGGCGAGGTTCCTGACCCGCCTGCGAGCTGCGTGGCGGGGGTGATTTTTCTTTCCCTTCGGCCTGGAGATGAGGCTTGGCTGTTAGGGGGGTTCTAGGGCCAAGAGGCTTTTCCTTGGTGGGGGCATCCACCCTGAGGGGAGGCCTTAATCGGCTTCAGAGCAGGGTGCCGAGGTGGAAGTAGTGGTTGGTTCAGAGGCAGTTGGGGGAACTACTGCTGATAGTGATACTGGGAGATGTTGTGCAGTACTTAGTGCTGCTGAAGCTGATGTTGCTGGAATTGTTGCATTTGGGCTTTCATTGCCCGCATTCATTGCATCAGGTCGTCCAACTGGTTCTGGCTGGTTGCCAGGGGGACAACAGTTGGTTCAGTAAAGGTTGTTTCGATAGGGAGAGGAAGGGGGATGCTCATGGCAGGAAGGTTTACGGGCGCCACTGCTTGTGGCACATTCAAGCTGGGGATCCCATCCACCGGAAGGGGGATGGTGAACTGTCCGACGCACACCACGGGGATTTGAAGTTGTTTCCCGATGGTGTTCATCTCCGTGCCACATCCGACATTGCTGGAAGAAGCCATGAGTGTTGGGGTTTTTGGAGAAAAGAGGTTATGAGAGTTTTAGAGGGAGAAAAGAAGCCTAGCTGTCAACGACCTTGCCTCTGAACAGAGCTACAGGGAGCCTGAAACGGAGAGAGTGAGGAAGCTCCGGGGGGAACTCGGTATGAATGCTCCGAAGCTCAAGTTAGAATTCTCTCAAAGGCAAGATAAAACCAGATGGCGCAAAGTTCACATACCTTGTTCTTGGGGGGTAGGGAACCTTTTATAACCACCTCGTGCACTCACTCCTAAGCTTCTATCAAGTCGGGTATGATTACCTCTGGGCTCCTGCCAGTTCGGGTGTCATCCCCTCTGCTGGACAGAACCGCCACTGCTCTCTTTGTCGGAGCCGTCTCT